ACAGCGACAGCTTAGCGTGATTCGATAAAATTTAGATTTTGATTTGTTAGACAATTATTTGTTGTTACATTTTTCTTTACAAAACTTAGAAACAGCTTCAGCTACAAAATAAAAGCACTTTATCTTGTTAATTCCATCTTATTGGCATGGACTTTGTTAGTGAAGTTGCGTATAGTGCCATGTTAAGTTCAAGCGAGCAGACATAGGGAGGGTAGGTTTTTAGATAGCCTTCCTTTTTTTTCGTCTACTCGCTTTTTTACAGCCTAAATTTCAGGAGCTTTGGTTTGAGCACCCCAGCAATTTTAGCCCTTGCCGATGGTACGATCTTTAAAGGAACGTCTATTGGTGCATCGGGTAGTACGACTGGTGAAGTCGTTTTCAACACTGCCATGACTGGCTATCAAGAAATTTTGACTGACCCGAGTTATGCACAGCAACTTGTGACTTTAACTTACCCTCATATCGGTAACACAGGTTGTAATGATGAAGACGCTGAGTCAGGTCGAATTCATAAAGTGTGGGCCAACGGATTAATCATTCGTGACCTACCTTTATTGCATAGCAACTTCCGATCAACGCAATCTTTAGGCGAATACTTAAAAGAACATAATGTTGTCGCAATTGCAGATATTGATACGCGTAAATTAACCCGTATTTTGCGTGACAAAGGTGCGCAAAATGGTTGCATCCTTGCTGGTGAAAATATTACTGAAGAGCAGGCTTTAGAAAAAGCACGCGCATTCGGTGGTTTAAATGGTTTAGACCTAGCGAAAGAATGCTGTGACCCAACTGGTTTCGAATGGACAGAAGGTTCTTGGGTATTAGGCAAAGGCTTCACACAACCTGAACTTAAATTCCATGTTGTTGCATACGACTACGGTGTCAAAACCAACATCTTACGTATGCTTGCAGACCGCGGTTGTAAACTCACTGTCGTGCCTGCACAAACTCCTGCTGCTGACGTACTTGCATTGAATCCAGATGGCGTGTTCTTATCGAACGGCCCTGGCGATCCAGCTGCATGTGACTACGCAATTAAAGCTGTAAAAACAATTGTAGAAGACGCTCGCAACTTACCTGTCTTTGGTATTTGCTTAGGTCACCAAATTCTTGCACTTGCCTCAGGTGCAAAAACGGTGAAAATGCCGCATGGCCACCACGGTGCTAACCACCCTGTTCAAAACATGGAAACAGGCACAGTGATGATTACTTCTCAAAACCACGGCTTCGCAGTGGATGCAGAAACACTTCCTGCAAACTTGAAAGCTACGCACAAGTCTTTGTTCGATCAAACTCTTCAAGGGATTCATCGTACAGACAAACCAGCGTTCAGCTTCCAAGGTCACCCTGAAGCAAGCCCTGGTCCGCATGACTGCGCACCATTGTTCGATCATTTCATCGAACTTATCGAAGCATCTAAGAAGTAATTAAGGAAGCGATCATGGCTAAACGTACAGACATTAAAAGTATCTTAATTATTGGTGCAGGTCCGATTGTCATCGGACAGGCATGTGAGTTTGACTACTCAGGTGCGCAAGCGTGTAAAGCTCTTCGTGAAGAAGGCTACCGTGTTATTTTGGTGAACTCTAACCCAGCCACCATTATGACCGACCCTGCGATGGCAGACGCAACTTATATCGAGCCAATCACTTGGCAGACTGTTGCTCAAATCATTGAAAAAGAGCGTCCAGATGCTGTCCTTCCTACAATGGGTGGTCAAACAGCATTGAACTGTGCGCTTGCACTTGATGCCAACGGTATTTTAGAAAAATACAATGTTGAATTGATTGGTGCGACCAAAGAAGCGATTGAAAAAGCTGAAGACCGTAAACTGTTTGATGAAGCAATGCGTAAAATTGGTCTTGAATGTCCAAAAGCTGCAATTGCTGAAAACATGGAAGAAGCTTTAGAGATTCAAGCGCGCTTCGGCTTCCCTGTGATTATCCGTCCGTCATTCACGATGGGTGGTTCAGGTGGCGGTATCGCTTATAACAAAGAAGAATTCCTTGAAATCTGTGAACGCGGTTTCGATCTTTCTCCAACTAAACAATTATTGATTGATGAATCTTTAATTGGTTGGAAAGAATACGAGATGGAAGTTGTTCGTGACAAAAACGACAACTGTATTATCGTTTGTGCGATCGAAAACTTTGACCCAATGGGCGTGCACACAGGTGACTCAATCACTGTTGCGCCTGCGCAAACATTGACAGACAAAGAATATCAATTGATGCGTAATGCATCTTTAGCAGTTCTTCGTGAAATTGGTGTGGAAACAGGTGGTTCTAACGTTCAGTTCGGTATTTGCCCAGATACTGGCCGTATGGTGATCATCGAGATGAACCCACGTGTATCGCGTTCATCTGCCCTTGCATCAAAAGCAACTGGTTTCCCAATTGCAAAAATCGCTGCGAAACTGGCTGTCGGTTACACCCTTGATGAATTAAAAAATGACATCACGGGCGGAACGACTCCTGCTTCGTTCGAACCTGCGATTGACTACGTGGTAACAAAAATTCCACGTTTCAACTTTGAAAAATTCCCACAAGCAGACGCAACACTGACCACACAGATGAAATCTGTGGGTGAAGTGATGGCCATTGGTCGTAACTTCCAAGAGTCTGTAAACAAAGCGCTTCGTGGTCTTGAAGTGGGTGCGTGTGGTTTTGATGAAAAAATCGCAGTAGGTACTGAAGGCGCGAAAGAAAAGATCTTGGTTGAACTTAAAGTTCCGGGTCCAGAGCGTATTTGGTATGTAGCTGATGCATTCCGTCATGGTTTCACATTAGAAGACGTGTTCCAAGCGACGAAAATCGATAAATGGTTCTTGATCCAAATCGAAGACATCATCAAAACTGAAAATGAAATCAAAACTTTAGGTTTTGGTGATCTAAACGCAGACAACATTCGTTCGTTCAAGCGTAAAGGTTTATCTGACCTTCGCATCGCGAACTTGATGGGTATTTCACAAAAACAATTCCGTAAGCACCGTTGGAACTTGGGCGTGACTCCAGTTTACAAACGTGTGGATACCTGTGCGGCAGAATTCGAATCTGACACTGCATACATGTATTCAACTTACGATGATGAGTGTGAATCAAACCCATCTGATAAAGATAAGATCATGGTGATCGGTGGTGGTCCTAACCGTATTGGTCAAGGGATCGAATTCGATTACTGCTGTGTACACGCAGCGCTTGCAATGCGTGAAGATGGCTACGAGACCATCATGGTGAACTGTAACCCTGAAACAGTTTCAACGGATTACGACACGTCTGATCGTTTGTACTTCGAACCAATCACTTTGGAAGATGTACTTGAAATCGTACGTACTGAAAAGCCAAAAGGCATTATCGTTCAGTACGGTGGTCAGACTCCGCTTAAATTGGCTCGTGCTTTAGAAGAAGCGGGTGCACCAATTATCGGTACATCACCAGATGCGATTGACCGCGCAGAAGACCGTGAACGTTTCCAACAAATGATTCAACGTCTTCAACTTCGTCAGCCAAACAACAGCATTGTAAAATCTGCTGAAGAAGGTATGGCTGAAGCATCGAAAGTAGGCTACCCACTTGTGGTACGTCCTTCTTATGTACTCGGTGGTCGTGCGATGGAAATCGTATACAACGACGACGAACTTAAACGCTACTTACGCGATGCAGTTCAAGCATCAAATGAAGCGCCAGTTCTTCTTGACCGTTTCTTAGATGATGCGATCGAAGTTGACGTAGACTGTGTATCTGACGGTAAAGACGTTGTGATTGGCGGTATTATGCAGCACATTGAACAAGCAGGGATTCACTCAGGTGACTCAGCATGTTCGATTCCTCCATACTCGCTCTCAGTTGAAATCCAAGACGAAATGCGTCGTCAAACTGTTGCTATGGCGAAAGAGCTTGGCGTGGTTGGTTTGATGAACGTACAGTTTGCTGTGAAAGGCGAAGACGTTTACATCCTAGAAGTGAACCCACGTGCGTCTCGTACTGTGCCATTCGTTTCTAAATGTATCGGTGAGTCTTTAGCGAAAGTTGCTGCGCGTTGTATGGCGGGTCAGTCTTTAGAATCTCAAGGATTCACTAAAGAAATCATCCCGACTCACTTCTCTGTAAAAGAAGCGGTGTTCCCATTCAACAAATTCCCGGGTGTTGACCCTATTCTTGGCCCTGAGATGAAATCTACAGGCGAAGTAATGGGTGTAGGTAAAACATTTGGTGAAGCATTCTACAAAGCTGTGTTAGGCTCGAATGAACGCGTACCGGGTCTTCCTACAGAAGGCGAAGTGAAGCATGCATTTATCTCTGTGCGTGATTCAGACAAGCCTCGTGCTGTTGGTATTGCGAAGCAACTGGTAGGCTTTGGCTTCAAAGTACTTGCGACTGGCGGTACTTATGAGTTCATTAAAGCTGCAGGTATTGAGTGTGAACGTGTAAATAAAGTCACTGAAGGCCGTCCTAATATCGTGGACCGCTTGAAAAATGGCGAAGTTCACCTCATTATCAATACAACTGAAGGCAAACAAGCTCAACAAGATTCGTTCTCGATTCGTCGTTCAGCGCTTCAAGCGAAAGTGTATAACACTACGACCTTGAACGGTGCTGATGCTGTATGCCAAGCTTTTGCAATTCAATTGCCAATGGATGTATACCGTTTGCAAGATTTACAAACTGTAGGTTAATTCGTTTACCGAGAAGTCCCGTCACCTCTCGGTGGCGGGCTTTTTTCATTTATAAACCTATATTTTTTACACTCACAGACTTGAGGGACAACAATGCAACGTTATCCTATGACTCCCCAAGGCAAATTAGCCTTAGAGAAAGAATTACATCAATTAAAAAGTATTGAACGTCCACGTATTATTGCGGCAATTGCTGAAGCACGTGAGCACGGGGATTTAAAAGAAAATGCGGAATACCATGCTGCGCGTGAGCAACAAGGTTTCTGTGAAGGTCGTGTTCAAGACATCGAAGGTAAATTGGGTGCGGCTCAAGTTATCGATGTAAAAGAACTTGAACAAAACGGTCGTGTGGTTTTTGGGGTGACAGTCACTATCGAAAACTTAGACACCGAAGAACAAAAGACCTATATGATCGTTGGTGATGACGAAGCTGATTTTAAAATCAATAAAATTTCAGTGAACTCTCCTATCGCACGTGGCCTTTTGGGCAAAAGCGAAGGCGACGAAGTAAAAATTCAAACCCCTCAGGGTGAAGTTGAATACGAAATTGTAAAAGTTGCATATATCTAAGTTTCTTTGATATTTACGGCTGTAGAAACCCCTCGATTGAGGGGTTTTTTGTTTTTATATTTCCCAAAATACCTCTCCTTTATCCTCTTATTATGGCAAGGGAAATTTCATTACAAAAATGCGATGGGTTTAAGATATACAAACCTGCCTACCAAAACCCAAAATTTAATTCACCATGGATACTCCTTCCCTCTAAAGAATACGGTTAGGATGAGGTACATCAAACAAGAGAGTGTTAGATTTAAAGCATTCATTCCCCTCTCTTTTTCAAAGCAAGACTTTTATTTGTTATAATTTCTCACACTCTTCCACGCTGTCTTTTTATGTCTGAGCCCCTGATTAATTCTCCTGTCAAACACTGGTGTGAGTTTGAGTTCATCTCTAAAACGGTGAAGAATCCGAATATTCACATTAAAGGGAATTACTCTTACTATTCAGCGTATTGGGATCAAGGTTTTGAACGTTGTGTCGTGCGTTATTTACATGATAAGCCTTCGACCGTAGATAAACCGATTGATCAGCTCTATATCGGCAATTTTGTTTGTTTTGGGGCAGAATGCGTCATTATGATGGGTGGTAACCAACTGCATCGTACTGACTGGATTTCGGCTTTTCCTTTTGATACACGTAGTTTTATTCCCGCAGGTGATACCATCATTGGCGATGGCTGTTGGATTGGCTCACGTGCCATGATTATGCAAGGTGTGGAGTTAGGTGAAGGCGCAGTAGTGGCAACAGGCGCTGTCGTGACCAAAGATGTTCCACCCTATGCTGTTGTGGGTGGAGTACCTGCCAAGATTATTAAGTATCGCTTTCCTGAAGCAGATATAGAAAAACTGCTTGCCCTTAAACTTTATGACTTAGATGAAAAGCAGTTTTTAAAAATGCGTGAGCAGTTACAAACGGATGATGTTAAATCTCTGCTTGAGCTTCTGAAATAAAACCAGATTCAATATAATTTTTCCAACTATCGACAAACTCGTCTGATTTACGCAATTTCGTCACGGAATAATTTGAATATAGCCTTAAGAGAGCTCCTTCCTTTTCCTGTTGTTGCCCAGAAGTTGTATAGATTTTTATAGTGTTTTCTAACTGATCTGCCAGTTCTAAGAGTCCAAAGCTAGTTAACTCATACTTTTGCTTTAAACTATTTATTAAGTTTCTTGCTATATAACTTTCATTATCCCGTTGATGAATATGATTAGTTATATACTCTAATAATCTCTTTAGAACTCTTCTAAAATATTGCACTGTAACTTGGAAATCCCTATCAAATATTATTGCTATTACAATCATATCTTTATTTAAATTATTTGTTCTTAATAGAGCATATTGATTGACTTTTCTAATAAGTTCTCGCGAATTGTAATTTTTATATAATTGCAATGCCAATACCCAAAAATAAAAAGTACTAAAATGCTCTTTATTTTCAATTTCATCACTGACTGAGTCATAAACATCTTTGCCATCTTTATAAACTTGCTGGATAATCTCACCTGCTCCACCAAGACCAATCCAATGTAACCCAGCTTTTGCTACTATTACAGGAAGTATTGCGGCTAAAGAAATTAAGACAGATGCCGTTTTCTCATTAAAACTATTCACATCTGCATCATCAATATTATCTGAACTTTTAAATGCTTGGCTAATCTCAGCAGCGATAGTTAAAAATGGATCATCTAAATAATCATTTGCAAATGCATCCAAATAAATCACATTATGATTTTCATCTTCTAAATGTTTTTGCCAATGTCTTACAAACCACGTTTTTCCTTCACCCCAACGGGCATCTAAAGCGAGTACAGCTCCACACTGCAAACGATCAACATAATTCGTCAGTTGAATACCCAAACGCTTACGATCCCAAAGATCACCCTCCCAAGCAGTTTCAACATTCTCTAAATTTGTCCGTTGCCAATTCAGTTGATTCGTATCTGTCATCGTATTTATAAAGTAGTAAGCCATTCATAAATATAAGCTATTTTTTATACAAAGCCTATGTTTCTTAAACGCTACATTTACATTCAACTTTAGTGTTAAATTGATTATTATTCACACGCTTTTGTGCTAATTTAGAAGTGAGAAATTAGCATTTCATATGCAAATATCCATATGAATTTACTAGGTTTTATTCTTTAAAAAATACAGCTAATATCAAGGTATAAGCTGTATTTAACCCGTAATACATTAGAACAGAAATCTGCACGTATAATCAGTTGATAATAAGGAGAAACAACCATGGCATACCAAAACATTTTAGTCCCTGTAGACGGTTCAGAAACATCATATGCAGCAGTTGCGCAAGCGGCTGAACTTGCTAAAGCATTTGGCGGTAAAATTACAGTCGTTCAAGTACTTGCACTTGACCCTTACATTGCTGCTGAATACATTTCTGCAACTCAAACCAATGACTTAATTGAACGTGCGCGTACTTCAGTTTTGAAAACACTTGAGGAAGCAGCGGCTAAATTTAGCGATCTGGGCATTCCTGTTGAAGCAAAACTACTGGAAGGTCAGGTGGTGCACCGTGAAATTATCAGAGAAGCTGAAACATCTAAAGCAGACCTAATTGTCATTGGCTCTCATGGTCGTACAGGTTTAAAACGTTTATTCCTAGGCAGTGTTGCACAAAGTGTTTTAGGTGAAGCGCACATTCCTGTTTTAGTTGTTCGTCAGTAATACATCGAGTGCTCTACTTCCACGGAGGTAGAGCATTTCTATTTTAAATATTCCACTGAAACTCTTTCATTTTCACTTTGTCCCCAATCACTAAAATACCTTCCGCCAGAAGTAACTGTGCTTGAATGTTCTGTCCCTGATCATTGAGTTTACTTAGGCTAATTTTTCCTTGTGAGTTGATTACCCGATACCAAGGCAAACTACTGTCTGCATCCATATGTTTTAGTACGTAGCCCACTAAACGCGAATGTTTTGGGATGCCTGCTAAACGTGCAATTTGTCCATAACTGGCTACCCGCCCATAAGGAATCTGAGCGATCACCTGAAAAATCATCGGTGCCAGTTCTTTGACTATCGATTCTGCCATTTCAAATGTGCCCTATTCTAATTATTCCATAATGACATCGTTATATGATTCAAATAAACCAGCTCATTCATTCTAAAAAGCCCCAATACAGGGGCTTCTTGATTGAGCAAATCACTAAAAGTTATCAGGACTTTCCAGACGTTTCACTTCCTGAACTCGCTCAGGGTTATGCACCGCAGCAATGCCATCATCTGCTTTAACATCAATCAATGCTTCAGGTTGATAGACGATAATGGTTTCATAGCCCTGTGCATCTTCACCAATAATATACTTAAAGCCTTTACGGTTCATTTTATTACACAGGCGTTGATACCAGCCTTTAAAACCCGTCTTTTCTTCATTCGGGTTGTAGTAAAACGCATTCATTACAGCTGGTAATCCTAGACCACAGACCATACCTGAAAGCAACACGGCGATAAAAGTATAACCAATCAGAATACTGCTGTATTCGCTCAGCTCAGGTACGTTAGCTACGGCTAAGATCAGTGCTAAGGAGATCCCTCCACGCACTCCCCCCCATGACAAAATCGCCAAACTTCCGTTATAACTTTTCTTACGGAAAGAGGGAAAAAAGGCAAAAGATAAATAGTTCGCTGCAAAACGTGAAGCATGCAGAATAATAAACGCGACGATACCACCAAAAATTAGACTAAAGCTGAGATCTAAAATAAACAGCTCCAAACCAATTAAGGTGAATAAGAACGAGTTAATAATCCCTTCAACCGTATGCCAAAAATGGTTCACTTCCCGTATTTCGCGTTCTTGTAAAATTTCTTTCCATTTGTTCCCTACAATCAAACCACCGATGACGCATGCAATCGGTGCTGAAGCATGGGCAAACAGTGCAACCAAGTACGAACCGCAGGCCAAAAGTGCTGTGGTTAAAATGAGAGACTCCATTTCATGCTTACCACGTAGCAGTCGCAAGATCCCTAAACCAAAGGCCCAACCAATAATGACGGCGACAAAAATTTCATAGAGTAAGGTCTGCAACACGCCCATGACGGTAAAGTTTTCACCTTGTAAGACGTTTAAGAGCGTCATAAACAAGGCAATACACATGGCATCATTAAATAGTGATTCGCCCTCAAGCTTGACCATTAAATGATGTGGTGCACGTACCGAACTAAGCACGCCTTTGATCCCAATCGGGTCCGTTGCACCCAATGCAGCCCCCAACAGCAAAAGCACCAATAAATCGACATGCTGCCCAATGATGAACTGATATCCGTAGAGCACCACACCAAAAAATACGGCGCACAGTACCAACGCAATACTGGCTAAAATACTGATCGGCTTCCAATAACTACGTAAATCTGAGACTTTGAACTTCAGTGCCGAAGAGGTCAAAATGAAGCAAATCACGCCATTGATTAAAAAGTCATAAAAGTCGATGTGACGAACCGCTTCTTCAATGTTATGAATATTGATGGTAATAAACTGATTACCACTCAACAGGCTCGCGCCCCACTGTAAAATAAAGACAAAAATGGCGGAAACGATGGGGACGCCAATGGCTTGGGGAAAACCTAAAATACGTTTATTGAAAATAGTCGTTGCAATGGATAATGCAAAAATAACGGTAAAAACTTGTAGAAAAAAATAATTTCCCATTGAACTTCCAAATTGGGCGGTTGGGGAGACGGCGGCTTTCAGTGCTGATATATGGAATAAAAGTTCATTTCATACACATTGATGCTCGAAATATTTTAATCATTTTTCACATCAACGCCCGAAAAAAATAATTTTTTTAACATTTCTCCTGATGATGAATTAACATAGCGCATATGCATGTTTTTTATGCGTGAACTTTCCCTTTGGCCAAGTTTGATCTCCTATGCAATTCACTTTTAAAACCATCTTTCGGATGTTCTTCGCACTGATTATTTTCCTGACCACCTTTGCGTTGTTTCTGACCTGCTTTGCAAAAACCAAAGAAATTTTACAAGCCGAGCAAACTTTTGCCTCAGCACAAAGTTTTAAAATGAACTCTCGTCCCGATCAAACACTAGTTCTACTTTCAAATAATAAAGCACCCGATGATCATATTTATTTGCATGTGGCCAATCAGGGTTATATCGCCAAATTCAGCTGTAATCATTATTTAACCGACATTTGTGTGGATGACTACAATGAACAACATACCCGCCAAATTCAGTCAATTGAACTACTCAAAGCAGGGCAGTTTAACTACATTCAGCAAGTCAGTTATCTCGATACACGCACACAAGATGTTAAAACATTGCGTTATACGCCTGAGCAAATTCAGCAGTTTTACCGTGCGGATATGAGCAACTTAAAGTATGTGGTGTTTGGGGTATTATTATTTGCCTGTATTGCGTTATATGTGAGTGTCCGTATTGCTCGAAACTTTAAGCAGTTCTTAAACCGATAGAATGAATTGCTTGAAATAAAAAGAGGCGATCAATCGCCTCTTTTTTTTATGGCTTAAATGGCTTGATTAAAAGTATCGCAACTTTCAACTTGACCCGATTTAAAGCCCGTGCCAAACCATGTCATACGCTGTTGGCTGGTTCCATGGGTAAAGCTATCAGGGACCACTTGGCCTGTTGCCCGCTTTTGTAGGTAATCATCACCAATCTTATGTGCCGCATCCATCGCTTCTTCAACATCGCCTTGCTCTAAGAACTGAGTCCGTTGATTGTTATGATGCGCCCATACCCCCGCTAAACAATCAGCCTGTAACTCTTGGCGTACCGATAAAGCATTGCCTTGAGCTTTTGAACCCTGTGCACGAGCCTTTTGCACTTGTTCAGAAATACCTAAAATGGTCTGAATATGATGTCCAACCTCATGTGCCACTACATAAGCCTGAGCAAAGTCACCCGCTTGATCTTGGCGCGCCAACTCCGTTTGGTTTTGCTCACCGCCAATACCCATTTGAGTCCGCATGTCTTTAAAGAAAGCGGTGTCGATATACACCTTCTGATCTGCTGGACAGTAAAACGGCCCCATTGCAGACTGAGCAGTACCACAACCCGAATTGATCACCCCTGAAAACATCACCAACTTCGGTGGAACATATTGTTGTCCCAATTGCTGTTGGAAAATTTGACTCCATGTGTCTTCAGTATCGGCCAGTACCGTACCGACAAAGTCCATCGCTTCCTGCTGATCAGGCGTTGGGTTATCCAAACCTTGGGTTTCTGCCGCTCCAGTTTGTGCGGTCACTTGTTTAGTGGCTTGGTAGGCTTGCTGCGGATCGACTCCTAGAAATTTCCATGCCACAAAGGCCACGATCAGCCCTAAAATACTGATGCCACCCGCCTTGACACCACCACCACCGCGACGATCCTCGACATTGCTACTGACACGACGTCCCTTCCAACGCATAGCACTCTTCCTTCTTCTAATTCATGCTGACCCAATCCAGTTTATGCCTTTTTTGAGCTCGGCCAAACTTTTTTAATCAAGCTCACGATAGCCAATACAATCAAACCAGCCACAAAACCAATCACTAAGTTAATCAGTGTTGGGGTTAATGCTCCCACAATGCTGCCCACAGTTGGAATATGTTCAGCATAATCCACTGAACCTTCAGTGAAATGATGCAATAAAGGCACGCCGTGGGAAATAATGCCACCACCCACTAAAAACATCGCGATAGTGCCCACGATGGTTAAGGTCTTCATCAGCTTTGGTGCAAAAGCCAATAAACCACGGCCAATAGTTTGCTTAAATGAAGAGGCTTGCTGAGTTAGATACAGCCCTAAATCATCAATTTTGACAATCATCGCCACAAAACCATACACACCGACGGTCATTAAAATAGCAATTACAGACAACACCATGACTTTGGTTGAAAAAGTTGCTGCAGCCACAGTCCCCAGTGAAATCACCACAATTTCTGCCGACAAAATAAAGTCGGTACGAATCGCCCCTTTGACCTTATCTTTTTCAAAAGTCGCCATATCCGTTTCAATCGCAGCTAATTCTTGGCTGGCTTCCTCTTCGGTTTTGGCTTTTTTGTGATGCAAACTATGCAGGACTTTTTCTACCCCTTCATAACATAGAAATAAACCACCAATCATCAACAGTGGCGTGATCAGCCACGGTGCAACCACACTAATCAACAGCGCCGCAGGGACTAAAATCAATTTATTAACAAAAGAGCCTTTTGCCACAGCCCAAACCACAGGCAGCTCACGGTCAGTACGAACCCCACTGACCTGTTGTGCATTGAGTGCTAAGTCATCGCCCAAAACACCCGCCGTTTTTTTTGCCGCCATTTTACTCATGACCGCAACGTCATCTAATATCGTGGCAATATCATCTAGTAATATTAATAAGCTACTCGCCATTTATTTTTATCCATCTTGAGAATTTTGACATTTTAATCTGTGATCTAAGCTTTTGAATATTTGTTTTTTGAAATTTAACTGATTTTATAATTTTTTCACTGCAGTTTTTTTAAGACTGACATTGAAAAAGATTATGCCGTACAATGTCTGCATTCTTTGAAAATAGCATGTCGCTACGACGACTTTGGAAATAGATAATGAGTAATCAAGACAACCGTCCTGTTATTTTGACAGGCGACCGTCCAACGGGACAACTTCATTTAGGGCACTTTGTCGGATCTTTACGTTCACGTGTGGGTTTGCAGGATTCACACCATCAGCATTTATTATTGGCAGATGCGCAAGCCTTTACTGACAATGCAGATAACTTTGAAAAAGTTCGCCGCAATATTCTTGAAGTTGCCACAGATTACTTAGCAGTCGGGATTGACCCAACCAAAACCACCATTTGCGTGCAGTCGAGCTTACCCGCGCTGAATGAACTCACCATGTTGTATCTCAACTTTGTGACCGTGTCTCGTTTAGAACGTAACCCAACCATCAAATCTGAAATTCAGATGCGTGGTTTCGAACGAGATATTCCAGCTGGTTTCTTATGCTACCCAGTTGCACAAGCGGCAGATATCACCGCATTTAAAGCAACGGTTGTACCTGTGGGTGAAGACCAGATTCCAATGATCGAACAGACCAATGAAATCGTACGCCGCTTAAACCGTCAGATTGGTCAGGAATTACTACCTGAATGTAAGGCTCTGCTTTCCAATATGAGCCGTTTACCCGGCTTTGATGGTAAAGCCAAAATGTCGAAATCTTTGGGCAATACCATTGTGTTGGATGCAACAGATAAAGACATTAAAAAAGCTGTTAATGCGATGTACACCGACCCGAACCACCTGCGTGTTGAAGACCCAGGTCAGGTTGAAGGTAATATCGTATTTACGTATTTAGATGCGTTTGATCCAAACAAAGAAGAAGTTGAAGAACTGAAAGCACATTACCGCCGTGGCGGTTTAGGCGATGGTACGGTGAAAAAACGTCTTGAAGGCGTATTGAAAGAGCTGATCACGCCAATTCGTGAACGTCGTATGGAACTTGCGAAAGATCCTGATTACATCATGGATATTTTGAAGACAGGTACAGACAAATGTCGTGACATCACTCAACAGACTCTAGATGAAGTTAAATCAGGTTTAGGGGTGTTTCATTTCTAATCCGATCCTAAACTAACGTGCTTCTTTAAAGCCTTTCTCACTGAGAAAGGCTTTTTTAATCTCTAAATAAACAAAAATAAGCCACATGCATCTCAAAAACTGACATTTAGTGTCGTTTTTAAATCGGGTTTAGGGGTGTTTCATTTCTAATCCGTTCTTAAACTAATCCGCTTCTTTAAAGCCTTTCTCACTGAGAAAGGCTTTTTTAATCGCGAAATAAACACGAATAAGCTACATGCATCTCAAAAACTGACATTTAGTGTCGTTTGTTAACCTAAATTTACAGTAATTAACGTGAATACTCATGAAATAAGAACGCGCAGCCCTTATGATGAGTTCATAGCTTAGATTAACCCCTGAGATATAACATTTCTCCTTTTTACCGAAACTGTGTAACAACAGATTCGTGTTCTACGCAATGAATACCCCAATCATTGCGTATTTTTTTGCCTAAAATTTATCAAATCACAATTAAACTGCTCTCTCCTTACGTGCCAACAAACTTAGACATTCTGTTTTTTGAATGCTATGCTAAAGCCCAATTTCAATACAATTCTTTTTAAAAATTTACACTTAACTGATAACAGCATAAAAATAGAGAACCTTTAGAATGTGGGAATTATTTACTCACCCATCCAATTTAATTTTTAGTATTTGCCTCAGTCTGATGTTTTTATTGGGACTGCTCGAATTGATTTTATTGGTGTTAGGGGGCGGCTCACAAGGCCTACTCGACCAATTCCTACCTGATGACTTAGGCAGTACTAAAGACGTCGACATTGCACTAGATGCCGATCAAGGTTGGCTCAATGCCCTGCTGGATTGGTTGTTTATTGGCCGTGTTCCTCTCTTGGTTTGGCTGATTATCTTCCTCACCCTGTATAGCTTAAGTGGCTTTATTCTACAGTCCATTCTTCAAACTTGGACCGGGAGCTATTGGAGTGCATGGATCATGGCACCTCTTTGCCTCGTACTTTCGATGCCTATGATTCGTTACAGCGCCATGCTGATTGCTAAAATTTTGCCACAAGATGAAACCACAGCAATTTACAGTGAAGAGCTGATTGGACGAACAGCACTGATTATTTTAGGTGAGGCTAAAGTCAACTCACCGGCTCAAGCACGAGTTCAAGATCAGTTTGGGCAAACGCATTATGTACTGGTTGAACCTGAAACAGACCTTCATTTTTCTCAAGGTCAAGAAGTCATTTTGACTCAAAAAACCAAGATTGGCTTTAAAGCCATTTCACTTTAATTCTTTCATTTTGTACTTATAACTTTAAATAAAATCGGGACCCTTATGCTCAGCAACAATTTCTATAACATTCTTATTCTTGCAGGGATTATCTTTGCAGCTCTGGTTATTATCGGCATTATTATTGCCCGTCTGTACCGTCGTTCCAGCAAAGAAATCTCTTTCGTACGTACAGGTTTTGGCGGCGAAAAAGTTATTTTAGGTGGCGGTGCAATTGTACTGCCTGTATTACATGAAATTATCCCTGTCAACATGAACACGCTACGTTTAGAGGTTCGCCGTGCTGATGATCAAGCGCTCATTACCCGTGACCGTATGCGCGTCGATGTCATGGCGGAGTTCTATGTCCGTGTGAAGCCACTAGCAGAATCAATTGCAGTGGCCGCGCAGACTTTGGGACAAAAAACCATGTCTCCAAATGAGTTGAAGAACCTTGTGGAAGGTAAATTTGTCGATTCCTTGCGTGCAGTAGCAGCTGAAATGGCGATGGAAGAGTTGCATGAAAAACGCGTGGACTTCGTACAAAAAGTACAACAAGTGGTGTCCGAAGACTTACATAAAAATGGTCTAGAGCTTGAAACTGTGTCATTAACAGGTTTAGACCAAACAGGTTTTAAATACTTTAACCCTCAAAATGCATTCGATGCCGAAGGTTTAACTAAGCTAACTGAAACGATTGAAGACCGCCGTCGTAAACGTAATCACATTGAGCAAGACGCTGACCTTGCCATTAAGACCAAAAACTTAGAAGCAGAACAAGCACGTCTACAAATCATCCGCGAAGAAGAATACGCCAAACTACAACAAGAGCGTGAAATTGCAATTCGCCGTGCAGAACAATTGGCTGAAATTGCCTCACAAGAAGCTGAGAAAAAACGTGAAGCAGAAGAAGCACGTATTGCAGCTGAGCGTGAAGTCGAGTTAAAGCGTATTGGTGCAGCACGTGATGTGGAAAGCCAAAATATTCAAAAATCACAAATTATTGAACAAGCACAGGTTGAACAAAAGAAAACCATCGAGCTGGCTGAACAGTCACGTGCCATTGCAATTGCTGAAAAGTCGCGTGAAGAGTCTGAAGCCAAAGCTTCTGCTGACCGTGCCCGCGCTGAAGCGGTTAAAGCTGAAGAAGAAGTGATTACCGTACGTGAAACCCAGCGTGCTGAGCGTCAAAAAGCAGTTGAGTTGGTTGCGGCGAAGCAAGCTGCAGAAAAAGATGCGATTGCGATTACGGTTGCAGCTGAAGCAGGCAAACAAGCTGCTGCCGATGATGCCGAAGCTGTTCGTATTGCTGCGGAAGCTCAAGCCGAACAAGCTCGCTTAAAAGCCAAAGGTGAAGCGGATGCCAAAATACTGTTGGCTCAAGCAATGGAAAAACAATACCAAGTCGACGCGGATGGTACACGTGCTGTGAATGAAGCCAACAACGTCTTATCTCCAGAGCAAGTCGAAATGCAAATTCGTCTAGCATTGTTAAAATACTTACCTGAAATCATTCGTGAAAGTGTTAAACCGATGGAAAACATTGATGACATTAAAATTCTACAGGTCAATGGTTTAGGCAATGTCGGTTCAGTAGCATCAGGAGTTGATGGTGCGGAATCTTCACAAGTTGCTTTGTCTGATCAAGTGGTGAATAGTGCGCTACGCTATCGTACCCAAGCACCACTAATTGATAGCTTGATGAATGAACTGGGAATTCAAGGCGGCGACATCAATGGTTTAACCCAAAGCTTAAAACCGCAAAGCAAAGCTCAATAGTAGTTAGACTTACAAGCAAAAAACGCGACGATCTGTCGCGTTTTTATCATCTGCTTTAATATTTAACTTTCTACAAAATAAACATTTAAGCTTTTAAAACGATAAACCTAAGAATTCACTCAGCACAGTAAGCCTATCATCTATTATAAAAATTTAAGTTATCTTCGTTCTTAAGTCGATTCACTCGCCATCAGAGAATTCAAAGAAGTAATGTAAACATCCTAGACGCTACAATTGAGTGAAAATATTCTAAACAGTAACGGAAAAAACTTTTTAATGAATAAATAGAATTAAGCTATTTAGTGCAAACGTACCCAAAAGAAACGGATCAATTGCCCACGATCATAAGGAAAATTTGAAAGGTACTCATATCCCACTTTATTTCTTTTGTTGACTTTAATTTCAATACCATACCCGAATGAAATACTGAGTACATCCAAGTCTGAACTGTGAAACTCCCCTGTCCCTAATTTATGGCTCAAACCATCCGAGTTGTAGGCCGAGTAGTTAAATATACGAATATATTCATTCTCATAAAAATCGTTATTGATCAATGTATAATCGTTTTCTTCTTCATCATGTTGTGCCGCTAACTGCTGATAATATTGGAAAATATCATCACTCAAAGACTCAGCCAAATAGACGTCTTCATTTTCAGCATAAGCGCTATTCATCGCTAGCCCGAACAAGAAAAAGCAGCGACAAAACAATAAATGAATCGGCTTTAACATCTGTAATACTATGTCTTCAAAAGAATTATTTTAATTATGAATATAGCATAGTCTCCTATTAAAGAACGTGCTCCTCAAGCAGACGAATAAGAATAGCTATGCTAAACCTCATCGCTGAATAAAAACTTGTCCTTACCGTCAAACTGCTACTTAATACTTAAATAACTGAATGAGGCATTGAAAGTAACAACTTGAGTTTTAACTGAGCTCAGCACAGAATAATACATAAAAAAATCCAGCCCGCAAACAATTTCGATTACAGTATTCATCCACACTTTATTATTCTCTTAAGCACTATGGCTTATTTTCTGAACAATAAAAAACTGAGCAAACTATTGATGTGCATTTCAAGCTTCGCTTTATTTGCGTGCAGTGCAGTGTCTCAGTCAGCGCCTCTCATTAAAATAAAAAATCATCCGATCGATGCGCTTGTCACTCAATATCAAGCTGAAACTACACTACCGTCTATGGCAACCAAAATTGATCAGATGCGTATCATGCATATTGATTTAGACTATGTCTACGATCCAGATAAAACCCAACAACAGCAAAACATCCAAGCATTAATTGCGCGTATACAACAGATCCAACCGAATACTATTTTTTTACAAGCCTTTGCTGACCCTGATGCTAACGGTTCGGCAGACCAAGTTTATTTTGAAAATCGGCATATCACGACTCGTGATAATTTATTCCCCCAAGTTCTCAGTGCGATTCGAGAACAAACACAAGTTCAACACATCTATGCATGGCTTCCACTGATTGCATGGGAGTTTCCCAAACAGGAGCACTTACAATATGTAGAGAATAGCCAAAAATCCTCACATGGCTATATTCGTGTCAGTCCCTTTGATCCGAAAAATATAAGTTTGGTTGCAGAGATTTTTAGTGATTTTCTTCAAAAAAATCCAGTCGATGGCATTCTCTATCATGATGATATTACCCTCAGTGACTATGAAGATAATTCTGCCGCTGCACAAAAAATGTATACGGCATGGGGCTTCAAAGATCTCTCAGTACTACGCAATCCAAATCATCCCCAACAATTTAAATTTGCCCAGTATAAAACCGCTTATCTCGATCAGTTTGCAGCAGGAATCAGTCAGATTTTAAAAAAACAAAAGCCGAATTTGCTGACAGCACGCAACATGTATGCGCCTGTGGTACTCAATCCGAAAAGTGAACAATGGTTTAGTCAGTCGCAAACCAGTACCCTCCATCACTATGACTACAATGCCATCATGGCAATGCCCTATATGGAAGAAAGTTCCAACCATCGTCAGTTTTATTTAGACCTGATTGCTCAGGCAAAAAAATACGACCCAAACTTGGATCGTACTATTTTTGAACTTCAAGCCGTTAACTGGAAAAACAATCGTAAAATTTCTAGCCAAGAACTGGCAGAAACCATGCAGTTATTAAAGCAACACGGCGTCAAGCATTTTGGCTATTATCCAGATGATTTTGTGCAGCAACATCCACGTGCATCGACCTTGAAGTCGGCATTTTCACTGGATCATTCAAATCATACGCCTTAAGCCCACCTTCTTCACTGTAGTGCAAGGTAATGTTCTCAGCTTGCTGCAAACGCTCAATGTCTGAGATGCTCACGCTAAAACTTTGAGCAAGATTAGAGGACTCTACATGGGTCGGAAATAAACGTTTTTCGTTATTACGGAAACGATACCAGTTATAACTTGCCCATAGAAAAAGACATAAAATGAAGATTGTGATGAGCCCCATCAAATGAAATAGGTTTAAAGGTTTTTTAGGCATTTCAGCCACAATCAGCTGCTCATAGACTAAGTTACCTTCAAACCACCAAAACAGGAGGGTGAGCAGAGGTAGAAACAACCACATCCACATCACCCACCCAAGTGCCAATAAACTATAACCCGCCGTTTTGTTCCGAACGTACTCAGGTTTATCAATATAAGCTGGGATATCGAGTTGTGCTTCATCGGTGATGATTTTAAAAGCTTCAGTCTTTTGCATCAGTCGTCTCTCCTCTAAAGCCACGGTCTGGACTCACCCAACGAGCACGCTTTTGCGTTTTCAATAAGGTTTTAGGTACAGCAACGACCGTTGTCATCATGGTTAAAAGCCAAAAGAACAAGGGATACCAAATGACCCAAAAATAGTTTCTTAGCATTCGACCACGATCATAGCGACTATCAATCATCAAACTGACAAAGAACTGAATAAGGCAGGTAACCCCTAAAATTACCCCATACCACTGCGGGATAAAGGACTGAATCGCCCACTCACCAGGTAATGGAAAAAACAAACCGTAGAGATATAAAATAATGATACCGAACATCACATAGGCCCAGAGGATACTGATCATAGACTCAATCGCGACTGGCCACATACGGCGTAAACGCCATTTAAACATTTGTTTGGTATAGGCCAATAAGACCTCAATCCCACCCTGTGCCCAACGTAAACGTTGTTTCCATAACCCCCCAAAGGTTTCAGGCATATAAATATAGCCCAAAGCATTTGGTACATAGTGCAGATCCCAATGGTCGAATTGCAAACGCCATGACACGTCAATGTCTTCGGTAATCATATCGTCACGCCAATAACCAATACGATCCAATGCCGTTTTACGAAAAGCGACCAACACCCCTGAAACAGTAAAAATACGCCCATAGGTGCGCTGTGAACGCTTAATTAAGCCAATGATAGATGAGAACTCACCGACCTGAATTTTGCCAAGAATACTCGAACGATTAATGATTCTCGGGTTGCCCGTCACTGCACCTACACGTGGAAAACTGGTTAAATGGTGCATCATCCACAGCACAGCATGCGGATGCAACAATGCATCACCATCAATACAGACCAAATGCTCATGCTTACTGACCATAGCCCCAGCTTTTAAGGCATAGGCTTTACCTTGGTTTTCGGCCAGATGTACCACACGCAAACGCGGATATTTCAATTGTAATTCATCTAAAATTTCGGCCGTTTTATCCTTACTGCCGTCATTAATTGCAATCACTTCAAAGTCAGGATATTGCGTTTGCATGGCATATTTGATGGTCTCACGAACTTGATCTTGCTCATTAAAACAAGGAATTAAAATGCTACATGCATGCTCACTCGGCTGAGGAATCTCATTTTGCTTATATTCACGTTTTAGAAAAAACCATATGCCACCTGCAATCCATAGCCAAGCCATAAACAAGGGATATAAAAATGCAAATCCAAAATAGTAATCACTAAAACTTAAACCAGAAAACCATTGCATTATTTTTTCTCCAAAACTTTTTGAGTAAATGGATCTCGGTAACTCAATGGACTGCTATTTAAGCTTAGCTCAGGATAAAAATTCTGGTGAATCGACTGTGCTCGGTTAAAGCTATAATTATTCACACCTACTTTCTGAATCGCTAAGCTTCTCAGTTGTTGATAGTTTTTCTTCAATTGTTTGACTTGTTGTTTGGTTAATTGCTCAGGCACATCAAAGCTGGCAATTAGGTACTGTTGCTCTTTGTCATCAAAAGTTTTCAATTGCTCTAGAAAAGCGTTAAATACCTCAGGTTGCTGTATTGGATCTAATTCTACATAAATGAAATCAGCATAGTCTAAGGTATAGTCAAGCAATGGTTTTAAGCCTGCAAGTTGGGTTTGATCTAATTTAAACTTCAGTGCTGTTTGGTAGTTATTACTAATGTTGGCATAGTATTTCGCTTGATCTTTAGTCCGCTCCTTGATTTGGAAAACTTGTTGCACTTTTGCTTCACAGGTTGTATCCCATTTCTGCTGACGTACCGCACAATCTAGCACTGATCCAGTATCGAGCATCAAACCTTCAATTGAGGTATTGTTTTTGACTAAGTCAGCTGTTAATACAGACAAATCTAACTTTTGCTCAGTTTCTAAACTCAATGGAAGTTCTGCATAAACACGATTGCTAATACGTGTCCGTGACTGCCACACTACACGGTTCAGCATATCTTGCTGCATCTTCAACTGTCGGTTTGGAAAATAAGCAACGTCTATTTTCCCGTCTCCATTACTATCCGATACGGCTTTAAGAATTAGCGTACTGGTTTTTAAACCATCGACTTTATCCAGTAACTGTCCAAGCTTCTGATTAAACTGTTCATTATTAGCTGATTGCATTTCGGCCAAATCAAAACGTAAGAAACTCTTTCTTTGCTTATAGGGAGCACGTACATAGTTTAAAAACTCCAACATTTCCTGATTAATCATTTCAGGTGTTGGATTATCCATAATCAAGGCGCGTTGGTATGTTTTTACTGAGTCCGCTAGCGGTGCCACACTGCCTAGACTAAAGGACATGGGCAAACCTGCTTGGGCTGCCAGCTCTTCAGTTTCGGTCGTCACCGCACCATAGGGCCAAAAAATTGCTCTGCTATTAATCCCTAATTCGCGGTCTAAGGTTTGCTTCGACTTTTTTAAATCAGCAACTACTCGACTTTGATACTCAGACTCTGTTTCATAGCGCTTTTGCTTTTCAATATATTCACGGGTAATGGCAGCAGGTTGCATATTTTGTTGTGGGTTGGCCAAAATACCACGGTGCATATTGTCAGAGTGAGAAACAAATTCAGCATAACCTGATGCAACCATTTCACGCATCTGCGGCCATGTCATTAAGTTACCCTTACCGTATGCTTCATAAGCATCTTTGGTATTGCCATTGATCCAACTGGTCGGAATAGCAAAAACTGCTGGAGTTTTATATTGCTTTAACAGTGGAAAAACGCGGTTATAACTACTTAAAGCGCCATCATCAAACGTTAAAAGCAGGGCTNCCAAACGATCATCGTGCGTTGTTCGATTTACCCCTTTAGCAGCACTATAAATAAATGTCGGTAATAGGTGATCCATCTGTACAATCAACTGATCCGCTTGCTTAAATTTTTCCTGTTCAACAAGTGAATAATACAAGCCTGCATAAACATCGTAATTGGGATAATTTTTTTCCAATAATAAGCTTCGATAATACACTTCAGCTTTCTTAGGCTGGCGTAATTTCAAATAACTGTCTGCTGCTGCATGACGGACATAGGCTGGCATTTCTAAAATAGGCTGATTCACTTTTTCTAATGCAGCCAAAGTTTGTTTTGAAGCTTGGCGTGCATTTAAAGCATAACTATAGTCATAGTAAAACTTATTTCGAATTGCTTGGTCTTCTGGAAGTTTAGCCTCATAACGCTGCATATCTGCAATCACTTGATCAAGTTTGTTATACGCCAACATCCCCTGATCACGATAAGTCAACATACGTTGTGATTGAATCGCATTTTGTATACGTTGAGAGAACTCATTCAGTTTCACACTATGAATCAGATTAGGACGAGATGCACTTAAGTTATGACTGTTTATATATTGTTCAACTTGTACATAGTCACTATTTGCCATCAACGCTAAAACATATTGTTCTTGTATGTCTATATTTAATGCTTGCTTGCTCAATGCATCTTGGGCTATCTCAAGTGCTTCTACAGGCATATTCAAGACGCGATAGGCATATGACATCTGCGCTAAATAGTCTGGACTGAGTTGGTCTTTTTTAATTTGTGCTAATTTTTGTTTGGCGACAGCGGTTTGGCCGGCTTCTGCATTTAACACACCCTGCCACACCAACCATTGCTGTTGTTGACTCTGTTGATAAAATATATCAGCCCATTTAGCCGCAGCTACAAATTGTTTTAAATCGCGTTGTCCCTTCACAACGCTCAACCATGCGTATTCAGGAAAGCTTTGAACATTGATGTTCTGTAAATAACTCAAATCAGAGGCTGTTAATTTTTGCTGAGCATATGCACTCACAATATAATCTGCTATGACTTTTTGATTTTTTGGCTGCTGTGCCAATAAATTTCGTAATTGTTTTAGGCCTTGTTCAACCTCTCCTGATCGAATCAGAACGACACTCTCTTCCCTGAGTTGATCAATATTATCTGCCGCTTTTACAAGCGTCATGGGAGAAGTACTAGCTAAAATACAAATTGCCCAAATTGACTTTTTATAATTCATATACTTTTCACGCTATTTTAGTAAAGATCATCACACAAGAAATTGCGTGACTTTCATCACATTATATTTGTGGAAGTGAGCTAAACCAAACTATTTTCGTAGAGTAAATTGTAAGAAGAAAGGTCTATTTTTATATGATGCAATTAAATGGAACAGTAAAATGGTAAGGAAATCCCCATTGTTGGAGATTTCCCAAAAATTAGAACTTAAACTAAACCTTTGTCCTTTAAAAGTTGGAACATCGTTGAACCGAGTTCTGCTGGGCTACGCGTGTACGCCATCCCCGCCTTTTCAAATGCTGCAAACTTTTCTTCCGCAGTACCTTTACCACCAGAAATAATCGCTCCCGCATGCCCCATACGCTTGCCTTTCGGTGCTGTTACACCGGCAATATAACCCACCACAGGTTTAGTCACATGCGATTGAATATATTCCGCTGCTTCTTCTTCAGCCGTACCACCAATCTCACCAATCATGATAATCGCTTCAGTTTGCGGATCTTCTTGGAACAGTTTCAAACAATCAATTTGGTTCATGCCCGGAATTGGATCACCACCAATACCAATACAGGTCGATTGTCCTAAGCCCAGTTTCGTCGTTTGAGCAACCGCCTCATAAGTCAACGTGCCTGAACGCGAGATAATACCAATTTTACCTGGTTGGTGAATATGACCAGGCATAATCCCGATCTTACATTCACCGGGAGTAATAATACCCGGACAGTTTGGACCAATTAGACGCGTACCATTACCATTGGTTTCAAGATAACGCTTAGCTTTGAGCATGTCTAAAGTTGGCACACCTTCTGTGATGACCACAATCAGTCCAACACCTGAGTCCACTGCTTCAATAATTGAATCTAATACAAACGGAGCTGGTACATAAATCACAGTCGCATCTGCGCCTGTACCTGCAACTGCATCTTTCATGGTGTTAAACACAGGTAAATCTAGATGGGTTGTGCCACCTTTACCAGGAGTTACCCCACCAACGACTTTAGTTCCATAATCTAGTGCTTGTGCTGAGTGGAATGTGCCGTTTTTGCCTGTAAAACCTTGTACCAATACTTTGGTGTCTTTATTAATTAATACGCTCATATTGATACTCCTTACGCTTTTACTGCAGCAACAATTTTTTCTGCGGCATCCGACAAGCCATTTGCAGAAATAAGTTTTAAACCTGATTCATCAAGTAATTTGGCACCCAATTCAGCATTGTTCCCTTCTAAACGAACAACCACAGGTACGGTCACATTTACTTCTTGAACCGCTGCAATAATTGCTTCAGCAATCATGTCACAACGTACAATTCCACCGAAGATATTAATCAATACCCCTTGTACAGAGGTATCTGCCAGAATAATTTTAAACGCTTCAATCACACGGTCTTTGGTTGCACCACCACCCACATCAAGGAAGTTCGCAGGTTGGCCGCCATAGAGTTTAATAATATCCATGGTTGCCATCGCAAGGCCTGCACCATTGACCATACAGCCAATGTTGCCTTCAAGCGCGACGTAGTTGAGGTCAAATTCAGATGCTTTCAACTCCCGTTCATTTTCCTGTGACTTATCGCGCAGCGCAGCAATTTCAGGTAAACGATACAGCGCGTTTGAATCGATCCCCACTTTGGCATCGACACATAGGATGTCACCATTTTCACGGACAGACAGCGGATTAATTTCAAACAATGCAAAGTCATTTTCAATAAATGCTTGATACGCAGCAGACATTACTTTCACAAATTGATTCACTTGACCATCTTTCAAGTTCAACTTAAATGCCACTTCACGTGCTTGAAATGGCAATAAGCCAACCAAAGGATCGACTTCAACTTTAATAATTTTTTCAGGGGTTTCTTCAGCAACCTTTTCAATTTCGACGCCACCTTCGGTTGAAGCCATAAAGGTCACACGACGGCTTGAGCGGTCAACCACTGCACCTAAATACAGCTCACGTTCTACAGGATAAACATCTTCCGCGACAAGTACGCTGTTGACAGGTTGGCCATGACTATCAGTTTGATAGGTAACAAGGTTGGTCCCGATGATGCTTTTTGCATATTCAGCAGCTTCCGTTGCTGACTTTACAACTTTTACGCCACCCGCCTTACCACGTGCATGCACTTGAGCTTTCATGACAGCAAATTTTCCGCCTATTTGTTCAAAGGCTTTTACTGCTTCTTCTGGGGTGGTGGCAAGTACGCCCTCTTGGACAGGCATACCATATTTTTTTAATAGCGCTTTAGCTTGATATTCATGTAAATTCATCGACTAACCTTTTTATTACTGCTTATTTACTTTTTGTTGCACCGAAACTGTTTACTATCACAGTAACCATTTTGGATTTTTAAAACTTCTTGTCTTTATTTTTAGATGATTCTTCATGAGAAGACAACACCTGAAACAAAAAAGAGCGACCGTAGTCGCTCTTTTCGTTGTCTTATTTGCGTTTACGCTGGATTGCGTGAATCGCTCGACCATCCACTGCAAGTGCAGCTTCATGAACCACTTCTGAGAATGTTGGGTGACCAAAAGTCATCAACTGTAGATCTTCAACCGAAGATACAAACTCAAGCGCAATCATACCTTGGTGTACGATATCAGACGCAGCAGGCCCAATCACGTGCATACCCAGTAAACGATCTGTTTTTGCATCAGCAACAAACTTCACGAAACCAGCATTTTCACCCGCAGCCATTGCACGGCCGTTTGCAGCAAAACCGAATTGACCCGTTTTCACTTCGTGGCCTTTCTCGATCGCTTGCTGTTCTGTTAAACCGACCCACGCCGCTTCTGGGTGTGTGTAAATCACAGAAATGATCGTGTCATAGTTGACTTGAGCTGCATGACCGTGAATACGTTCAACAGCCATTACGCCTTCTTCCATTGCTTTATGCGCAAGCATTGGACCACGAACTAAGTCACCAATTGCATATACGCCTTCAACAGACGTTGCACACCAATCGTTCACTTCAACTAAACCACGTTCGGTGAGTTTGATGCCGCAATCATCAGCCAATAGACCTTCAGCGTATGCACGACGACCTACACAAACGATCAACTTGTCGAAAGTTTGAGTTTTGTCTTCGCCGCCTTGAGTATATTTAACAGTCACTTCAGAACCGTTAACTTCTGTGCCAGCAACTTTAGCGCCAACACGAATATCAAGACCTTGTTTCGTCAAAAGTTTTTGGTAGTCTTTTGCCAATGCTTTATCGGCCATTGGTAAGAATGCATCCATTGCTTCAAATACAACAACTTCAGCACCCAAACGACGCCAAACAGAACCAAGCTCTAGACCAATCACGCCTGCACCAATCACACCTAAACGCTTAGGTACTTCTTGGAATTCTAGTGCGCCAGTTGAGTCAACGATAATGTTTTGATCAACTGGTGCTGATGGAATGTTAATTGGCACAGAACCTGTCGCAAGAATCACATACTTAGGCTCTAGAACTTGAGTTTCACCTTCGTGAGATACAAATTCTACTTTTTTACCTGCAAGTAATTTACCTGTACCTTTTAACCACTCGATACCGTTACCTTTTAGAAGGCCATCAATACCCATGGTAAGTTGGTCAACAATTTTGTCTTTACGAGCAAGTAATTTTGCAAGATCAAAGTTCACATCACCTGTGGTAATACCGTGATCAGCTAAGTGATGCACTGTATCTTCATAACGGTGAGAAGAATCAAGCAATGCTTTAGACGGAATACAACCCACGTTTAAGCACGTCCCACCCAATGATGGTTTACCTTTGTGAATACGTTTTTCAATACAAGCAACCTTAAAACCAAGCTGCGCTGCACGAATTGCTGCTTCGTAACCACCTGGGCCACCGCCAATTACAACAAGATCAAATTGTTGAGACATTTTTATCTCCAAAAATGGGCTTAGAGGATCGCTCTAAGCCCATGTTTTATTCTTTAGAATTAAAGGTCAAGGATCAATTTAGCTGGTTCTTCTAACAATTCTTTGATTGTTACAAGGAAACCAACTGCTTCTTTACCATCGATTAGACGGTGGTCATAAGAAAGCGCTAAATACATCATCGGTAAGATTTCTACTTGACCGTTTACAGCCATTGGACGCTCTTGGATTTTATGCATACCCAAAATCGCAGTTTGTGGTGTATTCAAGATCGGAGTCGATAACAATGAACCGAAAGTACCACCGTTGGTGATTGTGAACGTACCGCCAGTCATGTCTTCGATGCCTAATTTGCCATCACGTGCTTTATAAGCAAAGTCACGGATACCATTTTCAACTTCAGCATAGTTCATGCGGTCTGTATCACGAAGCACAGGTACAACTAGACCACGCTCAGAAGATACTGCTACACCGATGTCATAGTAACCGTGGTAAACAATGTCATCACCGTCAATTGAAGCATTAACTGCTGGGTAGCGTTTAAGCGCTTCAGTTGCAGCTTTAACAAAGAAAGACATAAAGCCAAGACGCGCACCGTGACGCTTCTCAAATGCGTCTTTGTATTGTGCACGCATTTCCATGATTGGCTTCATGTTCACTTCGTTAAACGTCGTCAACATTGCAGTTTCTTGAGTTGCAGCAAGCAGACGCTCAGCAACACGCTTACGAAGACGTGTCATTGGAACACGTTTCTCAACACGCTCACCCACAGCAACACTTAATGGTGCTGCAGCTGGAGCTGCTGGTTTAGTTTGATGATTTGCCACATCTTCTTTCGTGATACGACCACCACGGCCTGTACCTGCAACATCAGCAGCTGGAATACCAGACTCAGTCAATGCTTTACGTACAGCAGGCGCTTGATCAGCAACTTGAGCACGTTCAACGACTGGTGCAGCACCCGCTTCAGTTTGAACAACCGCTTGTTCTACTTTCGCTTCAGACTGAACTGCTTCAGTTTGCGCAGCGCCAGATACAGCACCTTCTTCAAACTGTGCAATCACTTCATTTGAAAGAACAGTGTCACCTTCACCTTTAATGATCGATGCAATTGTACCGTCAGCAGGAGCAACAACTTCTAAAACAACTTTATCTGTTTCAATATCACAGATCACTTCATCACGTGATACTGCTTCACCTGGTTGTTTGTGCCAAGTTGCGATTGTTCCATCCGCAACTGACTCAGGGAATACCGGTGCTTTAATTTCGGTTGCCATTACTAAGAATCTCCTGTTATTCAGCTACGATCGCTAAAGCGTCATTTACGAGCTGAGCTTGTTGTTTTGCATGCAAATATGGTGAACCACAAGCCGGTGCAGCAGAAGCTTCACGACCTGCATAACTGATACGTACTGGTTTAGCCGACTTCATTACATCATCATATAGACGAGGAGCAATAAATAACCAAGCGCCTTGGTTCTTCGGCTCTTCTTGCGTCCAAACAATGTCTTTCACATTTGGATATTGAGCAAGAACTTCAGCAATACGTTGTTCAGGGTATGGATACAATTGTTCAATACGAACGATTGCAGTGTTATTCAACTCTTGCTCACGACGTTTCTCAAGCAAGTCGTAGTAAACCTTACCACCACAAAGCACTAAACGTGTTACGTCTGCTTTGTTGATGTTGTCGATTTCATCAATCACAGTTTGGAATGTACCGTTTGCAAGTTCACTTAAAGTAGACGTTGCAAGCTTGTGACGAAGTAAAGACTTCGGTGACATGATGATCATTGGCTTACGAATTGGGCGAATCGCTTGACGACGTAAAGCATGGAAAATCTGTGCAGGCGTAGTCGGTGTCATCACTTGCATGTTGTCTTCAGCACATAGCTGTAAGAAACGCTCTAAACGTGCAGATGAGTGCTCTGGACCTTGACCTTCAAAACCGTGAGGAAGAAGTAAGGTTAAACCACACACACGCTCCCACTTGGTTTCACCTGATGCGATGAACTGATCGATCACCACCTGTGCACAGTTTGCGAAGTCACCAAATTGTGCTTCCCAAATCACCAAGCTCTTAGGCAGAGTCGTTGCATAACCATACTCAAAACCTAACACCGCCATTTCAGACAATAATGAGTCATAAATAGCAGTACGTGGTTGATTTTCTTTGATATGGCAAAGCGGAATATAGGTTGAACCATCCACTTGGTTATGCAGTTTTGCATGACGGTGTGAGAAGGTACCACGACCTACATCTTCACCAGTCAAACGAACCAAATAGCCATCATCTAAAATAGATGCATAAGCCAAAGTTTCCGCAGCACCCCAGTTCAATGGCATTTCGCCAGTTTGCATTTTTAAGCGATCATCAATCACTTTTGCAACTTGACGCTGCATCACGAAGCCTTCAGGAAGCTCGCGCATTTTGCGACCAAGTTCTTTTAGGCGATCTTCAGAACATGTGGTATCCCATACGTCTGTATAGTCATGCCCTAAGTACGGCGCCCAATCTACAAACATTTTTGTATTTGGTTCAAGTACCAGTGCATTGGCAACGTGCTTACCTGCTTCTAGATCCGAACGGTAGTCTTCAACCATTTGATCCGCTTTAGCACGGTCTTCTAATGCATTTGCAACATGCTTGCCTGCTTCTAGATCCGAACGGTAGTCTTCAACCATTTGATCCGCTTTAGCACGGTCTAAAACGCTTTCTTGAACCAATTGGTCTGCATACAGCGCACGCGTTGTAGTTTTCTTACTGATGACTTGATACATCATTGGCTGAGTTGCAGCTGGCTCGTCCGCTTCGTTGTGACCACGACGACGGTAACAGAACATGTCAATGACAACGTCTTTACGGAAAGTATGACGGAAGTCATGTGCCAATTGCGCAACAAACAATACTGATTCAGGATCATCACCGTTCACATGGAAAATCGGTGCTTGGATCATTTTCGCGATGTCCGTACAGTATTCTGTAGAACGCGCATCACGTGGATCAGATGTTGTGAAACCAACTTGGTTATTCACCACAATGTGAACCGTACCACCCACTGTATAGCCACGTGTTTGTGACATTTGGAAGGTTTCTTGGTTAACACCTTGACCTGCAAATGCAGCATCACCGTGAACAATGACTGGCAATACGTCATCACCACCAATGTCTTTACGACGAACTTGACGTGCACGCACTGAACCTTCAACCACAGGGCCGACGATTTCTAAGTGTGATGGGTTAAACGCCAATGCCAAGTGAACTTCGCCACCTTGAGTCATTACGTTTGAAGAGAAACCTTGGTGGTACTTAACGTCACCAGAACCTTTTTTATGTAAGCTCTTACCTTCGAACTCACCAAATAGGTCTGCTGGGTTTTTACCCATGATGTTTACAAGAAGGTTCAAACGACCACGGTGTGGCATACCAATGACCACTTCTTTACAACCTACAGAACCTGCACGCTGAATTAAAGCATCAACCATTGGAATGAAAGATTCACCACCTTCCACGCCGAAACGTTTTGCACCAACGTATTTATTACCTAGGAATTTTTCTAGGCCTTCAGCCGCAGTTAAACGCTCTAATACGTGTTTTTTCTGTTCTGCAGTGAAGTTGAATTGACCACGTGCACCTTCAAGGCGTTGTTGAATCCAACGTTTTTCTTTGGTATCAACAATGTGCATGTATTCTGCACCAATTGAAGCACAATACGTTGCTTCCATGGCTTGAACCATTTCACCTAGAGTTGCTTCGTCTTTACCAATCAAAAGATTACCTGTATTGAATACAGTGTCGAAATCAGATTGGGTTAAGCCATGTGCAGCAAGGTCAAGATCTGGCACGATTTCACGTTTTGCCAAACCTAAAGGATCAAGCTTCGCTTTTTGGTGACCGCGGTTACGGTACGCTGCGATCAGTTGTAGTACGCCAATTTGACGACGTTCATGTTCTGTACTAACAGAACTTTGTACCACTGCTTGAACACGACTTGAATTACGACCTAGTAATAAGAATTGCTCACGTACATTGCTGTGTGGTTGATCACCTTTCGGGTATTTATCGAAGTATGCACGCCAGTCAGCTTCTACTGAGTCTGGTGCAGCCAAGTACTGCTCATAAAGTTCTTCAATATACGCTGCACTATCAGCGGAAAGTTCAGTGTCAAGACGCAATGCGTCAGCAACTTCTTGCATTTGTGGACCCATTTCCTATTGCAAAAACATTTCAGGATGCTTTTTAAGCGAACCCATGATTAGTAATGTCAAATTGGTAACATGACATTAGTCCCCATAAGGCGGATGCCATGAGGCGTTATCACTACATTAGAATTACCCAATGTGACAATGAATCATAACGCCCTCAGCGGCATCATCACTCATTCATACCCGGCCAAAACCGAGCAATTTTTTGCAAATCGACTTAGAAAAAATAAGGCGATGCATTATTTTTTCTAAAGCGACTAACTCTTCATTTATACTCGCTCTAATGCGGCTTAAATGTTGAATTAATGTACATATTTAGCGCACACTTTTTAAATATAAATGTGCAAAAATTTTAACATACTCCCCATATTTCAATTGATTTTTTTGACACATACCTTTCATAAATTGGCGAAATACACATATCAAAATTTCATCTAATATATGGTGCTTTAAATAAAACCGAGTTTCAATGTAGACCAAAGTCTACTCCAAAAAACACATACGAAAAGAGAGCATCATCTTTCAATATGCCCTCCCCATCAACAACATCCATCTTAACATCTTCATAACTTTTTTTGCAGACTCATACTTGCACTTATTTATGACATTTGTTTTAAATCGCCGCGCTTTTCACCAATCTGGTGCAATTTCTCCAAAAGCCACCTATCACAAACAAAAATAGTGCCAACCTCACGCTTTCACTCAACTTTATTTTTTACAGCAAAAACCTCGCTATAAAATAAAAAAGCACACCCTAAAGGTGTGCTTTTTCTAACTGATAAATCAGCCTACAGATTAACCCGCAGCATCTAAAAGCATGTTACGGATGTGACCGATTGCTTTAGTTGGGTTCAAACCTTTAGGACACACTGATACACAGTTCATGATGCCTTTACAACGGAATAGCGAGAATGGGTCGTCTAGACGAGCCAAACGCTCTTGAGTTGCTGTATCACGAGAGTCGATGATAAAACGGTATGCATTCAACAACGCTGAAGGACCCAAGAACTTGTCTGGGTTCCACCAGAATGATGGGCATGAAGTTGAACAACATGCACAAAGAATACATTCGTACAAACCATCTAAGTGTTCACGTTCTTCAGGAGACTGTAAACGCTCTTTTGGCGGCGCAGGTTGGTTGTTGATCAAGAATGGATGAATTTTGTTGTACTGATCGTAGAACTGATTCATATCCACAACTAAATCTTTAACCACTGGCAAACCAGGTAAAGGACGAACTGTAATCACTTCTGGTAA